GTTCAGCATCAGTAGTTTGACTAAAATACGTGATTCAGGAGCGCATCCTACTAGGCAAAATCATGTTCGTTCTTTAAATACATTTATGAATATACATGCAGTTTTGTGTCTGAGTTTAGAGTATTTAGAGTTTAAATACAGATGTTGTTTTTAAGCTGATCTTTTTGACAGTAAAAACCAATAACTTTTGCGGGAATTTCGCGTTCCTTTCTTTGGAGGCAACACCTTAATTCAAAGTTTATGGTGAATTTTTATTTATTTTTATTTTTTAAAATGTAAAAACTGTCAGCTCAATGAAAAGCAGCATGAAGTTCGACTTAAATCAAGAGGGAAAATGGAAGACTCTTTCTCTTCTCTTCTCTCTGAAGCATGCAGCTGACATCTCCCGCGCTCCTTTCAGGGAGTAATGTATCTGTCATCCCCCAAATAAATTCATCTCTCATGTAGAGCCCTAAACAATAAATGTGTACAAGGCAGCTCGCGCTCGTTTATTCTGGATCTCTTCGATCAAATGGTGCGGCTTTCTCATCTGCGTTCTTTTCTATGATCAAAGCTCCATTTATCAAATACGTTAGACTGGTAATGTGAGTTTCTCCACATAGCTGACATCTCCTGCCTCTTTTCTCCCTCGTACCCTCTCTTCTCCTCGAGGTAGTCATGGCAAGATCTCGCTCTCCTCCAGAAGCCCATTACACAGTGGAAATTAGACACTAAACCAGGCAGCAGAAATCAATGAGAGAGCTGGAGTGTATTGAAGCGCCTGAAGCGAATACATTATCCATTTATTTGTTTAGGAGACATCCACAGTGGAGGCCTAGTCCATGTTTTTTTTCTTAATACTGCGTGTTTTTTGATACTTCTTTTAAACGCGAAATAATTTTTTGAAAGGCAGCGGGTGAAAAGAAGAAGGAATCTTGCTCAGTGCCACAATATATCGACACACCTACCTTTGCAAAGGAAATTCATGTCTAGCAAGCCCATGACAGTGAATTTAATAATATGAATATGCAACTGTGGACCGTGTTGGGTTTGGTTAAATGTGCCTACAAAAACACTCAGCCAGCATGTAAATAAATAAAATATGTAAATAAATAAAGTAAAAAATAGACAGTAAGGCAATTCATTAAAGTTTGCAACAGTGTTTTTTTAGTGCATGCCCCAATGACACAATGACAAGATTTTTTTTTTTTTGCATGCTATCATGTGATATAAATGCAGCAATAGTATTTCAAAGCCAGACAGCTCAATGTGAAATTCTGAAGTCTTATAATATATTTATATGAGGAACAGAGTGGACTATATATTTATTTATTTATTTGTTTGTCTGTTTATTATTTTTTATTTATTCATTCATTCATTCATTCATTTATTAGCATACATTTAAGGCTGTACGACAAATACTAAGTGATGTAATTATAATATTTAAAAATATATATTTTTTGCATAATTATGAGAATTTGTCCTTCATTGTCATGAAATTAACGTTACTGTTTATTTTCCATTTTATTTATGTGAAATAATATTATAAATTCATTAAAATAGTTTATTTAAACAATAATAGTTTAAAATAAAATCCCCAACTCGAGTATCTACGCTTAAGACTTTTTAGATTAGTCTAGATTTTGGTCTATTCTCTCACACACATCGATGTTATGTATAGATCAATTTTATGATATTTCTATGGTGAAGTTGGATACTTCTGGAATCCTAAAAGCTTTATTCACCAATCATTGCGAATGTAAGGAAAACACTGGCCACAACAGTCAGAATTTCTCCTCTTGTGTCACATAGAGGAAATCTTATGGGTTTGAAACGACATAAGGATGAAAGAATGTGAACTGTTTCTTTAAGGTAATTTCTTGTGGCTGGGTGTGAGTTTGTGAGGATGAACGAGTCAAGCTGAGTAAAATGGGTGGTGCAAACGTCTCACCTCTTGCACAGAAGCTTGTTGAAAGAGAGGTATAAGAGGATTAGTTCTCGGTATGTCAATGTGAATCTGCAGGGAAGAGACACAAAAAGAGGAGCACAAGCAGGTTACGACAGAACGGACTAGCGAGAAAGAGAAACGAGCCTGGCCATTTGAGGCTGCGCCTGAGAAGAAACTCGCTGAATTCTGGTATTCTACTTCCTGTTTACCTTAACACACGCTTTCCAACAAAACATTTTTGAGCTCAAGACTGAGCTGGCCGACCAGAAGACAGTTTGACAGACAGACAGAGACAGACGGATGATGATCGAGTGACATGCTTTTGAGTGGATGGTGGACAGAAGCATGTGACGTGACTCTGGGCGCTCCATCTGTCCTCTTACCTCGGTTACCTTGGGCTGCAGAACTAAACTTTCCGGACTCATCCGGGGAATATCTATGTGAATCTGATGGTTCAGAAAACACACAAACACGTATACAAAAATGTGGATGTCAGGAACATAAAGAGAGTTATGGAACTGAGAGAACACAAATACACATATACATTTGAACAAACAGGAGAATTTTTTAATTCATATAGATGATTCATTCTGCAGAAATGATTAATCATATGAAGCACTTCATTTGCAATGAATTTTAATATAATATGTGACCCTGGACCACAAAACCTGTCATAAGGGTCAATTATTCGAAATAGGACAATATTATATTATATTAATATAGGACAATATTTGGCCGAGATACAACTATTTCAAAATCTGAGAGCGCAAAGAAATCAAAATATTGAGAAAATCGCCTTTAAAGTTGTCTAAATGAAGTTCTTAGCAATGCATATTACTAATCAAAAATTAAGTTTTGATATATTTACGGTAGGAAAAATATCTTCATGGAACATGATCTTTACTTAATATCCTAATGATTTTTGGCATAAAAAAAATCTATAATTTTGACCCATACAATGTATTTTTGGCTATTGCTACAAATATACCCCAGTGACTTAAGACTGGTTTTGTGCTCCAGGGTCACATATATACTACAATATTTATAATAAAAATGTAAAGTTTTCATTTCACAAACTAATATACATTGTTTTACATTTAATTTTAAATTATATGAATTTTATATTTAATACTGTTTAGAGGTTTATACATGGTATATTACGTTATATATCATTGAATTTTTTTTTTATATGATTGCATTGGCTATTTTCATGAAAATTAAGCACTTTCCTACTCTTCCAATAATGATTCTCTTTAGGTTATCCTTGCTCTACTACTAGATTTGTTTTAATCATACATTTAAGGTATTAGAACAAACACTAAATGTTGTATATCATTTTACCTTCCCAATTCAATTAAATAAATTACAAAATAATTATACAATTAAAAATAACAGCAGCAATAATCAAAATAATATATATTAAAATTTCACAAATAAAGTGTTTTTCCATTTTATGTAAAATTTAATTAAAATTAAACTATAGTATTAAATTTCATTAAGCTTCTAAGGCAAAAAAAAGCCTTAGTGATTGTAAAAAGCAAACTATTTTTTTAAGAATAAATATGAATTTATTATTATTTATTCTTAATCATTTTTGAGTGAAACATAAGCAATGTCCTTAATAAGCTATGTGAGAATCACCCAGATATAGCTTGCAAGAGGTGAATCAAATGTGTGAATCTCACATCGCCAGTGATCACTAGACGTCAGTCTTAAATCAGGTAGACATTTATCAGATCAGAGTGACAGCAACAGCCTGATCTTCACATCCTCCTGCCAATACACTGGAGATTTAAACATTCCTTGTCATCTTTTCCTCTTCTGCATTACAATATCAAACACTATCTGTTGGTGGCATTTCTAAACATTATGAGCTCCTAACAGTTTGGCAAAGCTAACATACTGCTGCTTCCAAGACTTCAATCAGTACGTGTAAACAACCAGAAACCCTGACTATATAACAGTATACCCCTGGCTTTGAACTTGAAAATTCTTTGATTAAACAGCAGAATTAGGACTGGCTGTGCGGAGCTGTATGGGAAGTCAGGAAGTTAAAAGGAAATCAGAGGAAATTCTGAATCATCTCCAGAGTATTTGATTCAGTTAATTATTGCTTTCATCCTGCATAAAGTTCAGTTAGCAGTATTCTCTAGTACTGTAGGAGGCCTCTTCCACAAATAAGGTACAAAATATCACCAGAAACTAGGGCTGGGTAAAAAATATTGAAATCTCGATATTAATCGATTCTCATTTTTACGGAACGATATCGATTCTTAAATCCCAAGAATCCATTAGTCTAGCCTGTTTTCAGTTAATGGACGGAACATTGAAGGGCACTTCCCATCCAATATATCGCAATAAGCATTGTGCTTTGGTACTTTTAATATGAAACAGTCTCAGATTTCAAATTATGTCCATTGAATTGCAATATTCAAACAACAAATGCCGTTTTGGCGCTGTTTAATGTGGAGTGACAGATCGCTGTAGCGCCTCAGTTCAACAGACGCAGCAGCGCGAGGCGCATGTGAACTGATCATCTCCTCCACATTAATACCAGCTTCAGCACAAAATAAACATGACTAAACATCCGAAGGTAAGTTAAAAGAAAGAGTACAACTTTACAATCCATATCCTGTCTCATGTAATCGCTTAATCAAGTGTTTCAGCTGCACAAAGACGTCAATATAACGGCTTGTAAACAATGTCATGTAACGTCACATTTACCTCAGAAAAACATATTTGGTGACCATAAACTCATTAGTCAGATAGAAAAATAAACTGTAGAGAGGGGCATTTTGCTAAATATATGCACCATATAACATATTCATTATACATTTTACTGTTCTTCAA